ATGTATTACTTAGCAATCAATTTTTTATTTTAAGAATCTGTTTTATAGGATATGTCATGCAGCCTTCACATACAAACAAATGACTGTATGTTGGAAAATGCTAATGTGATTATTTCTCAAAATGAATGTAAGAATTTCTATCTGTTGACAAGTGTTTTCATACTCATGTATCCCATCTGTCAGAAGCTGACCTTTAAGAAGATATCCTTACTGAGTATTACCTCTAAATTCCTAAAAATCAACTTAATCTAACTTGCAAATTATGAATTATTTTTGTCCTAATATATTTTTCAAAACCTTAGGATCAATAACCTTTACTGTGATTTGCCAGCTGACTACTTATAATTCTGAGCCTACAGCTATTTTTTATTTTCAAATAAATTTATTAATATTTAAGAGATAAATTTATCTCTGATTTACAGGATATCTAATATAGAGTAGGTATGCTAATAGCAAATTTAATTACTTTCATTCATTTCCTTTTATTTCCCACCACCTTCCTGTAAAAAAATATTTTAGAATCTCAAAAATAGTTCCCAAGTGAATTCTGACCCATGTTTTTCTTATAAGATATTTTTATGGGACACAAAAATTCTGGCAATGACCTGAATAACCCTACTGATAATGGCAAGAGCAACAAATACGACTGATGAAAGACTTGAATATGTAATCACTTGAAAGTAATGCAGCAAATAGCAAGCAAATATTAAACAACTTGTCACTCATTTTTATAGAAATCATAGATTGTACAGCTGTGAGAATGTACACAGAGTGTACCCAGCTCAGTTCCTTGGTCTTATGTATGATAAATCTGCTAAATAATCCACTGAAATGTTAGTAATTGAAAATACATAAACCTCAAGTCCCTAACACCTAGTCTAGTATGGTACACCTTTTTCACTAGCTTTACTTTTTCTAAAAAGTGAAAATCCTATTTTTAAGAAAAATATTTAAAATTTGTGATAAATTAGGTCAGTATTCAACAGAATGCCTTGACAGTTGAAAAATCACTAGCACCAGTTACAGAATTAATGTAATCATGTACAACTCATGATGATCACTGCATTCCAATCTCTTCTTCCAAACACACAACTACTATACAACGAATATTGCCATGTGTTGATAATAGATTTAAGACCAGCAAATGCGAGTTCAGGATACATTTGAACCATTGCACTTTATTCCTCGTTGTGTATTTGTTCTCTTGCCTTGGTGTTTTTCCTTCACTTTTCACCAGTAACCAAGCCAGTCTGTTTTGTATTTAGCATGCATGAATCCTAAGATCAGCACCTCACCACTTGTGCAACTTCCTTCTTGCCTGTTTCTCATGCTCTTTTCCTCTACAGTACTTTAAAATGATTATTCCATGAAAACTCTTGGAATGCTTTTCAAATATTCCCAATAGTTGTACGTGCACATATAATGCAAATGTATTTATTTAAGGGATTTAAGACAGGTGAAAATCTTAAGTATTTTGTACAGTTACTTAGTCTATTATACGAAGTAGTGTTATCTTTAAGAAATCTGTGGGAGAAATTCCTCTTAAACCTTAGTATCAGGTAAGGTTTTGCCTTTCCCTGTTCCTAGAAAGTTTTGATCTTATAGTAACTATAAAGCTGAGATGGTGGATATTACTATCTCTGTTTTGGTTTTTCTTAACTTTAGAGTCAAATTTATGGCCAATTTCCAATAATTTCCGGAAGTATGTGACATATAGTCATCAGTTCTTAATTTACCCTACAGGTTTTATTCCTACCCATTTTACATTTACCTAAGAAAAATTCTTCAACCATGACTTTTATGTTTTTGTATTACATCCCTATTTATTTCAAGCTGACAGACTGATTTAAATCCTTGTGGAATAAGTCAGAGAAGAAAAGTATAATGGAGGAAGGCATGATGAGAGTAGTCAGGCTTGAGAGACGGGACAGGGTGGGGGGAGAATGCCTACACATATGCTGGTAAGTCCCATTTAGGGAAACAGTGGGAGGCACTACCTGGAAAATGTACATGGTTTGTGTTGATCACTCATAAGCTGTGGCAAGCTACCATGTTGGCGTGAGTCCATGTAGCTATTTGATGGCCAGAGGCTCTGAGCTATGTACAGAGGGTCCAAGTTCATAGGATACATTTGCATATTTTATCCTTCTTTTATGGTTTTTCTATATCACCAGCATCTAACATAGTATTCAATGTGCAGTGTGCATTGAGTAAATATTTTTAAAAATAAAGTGACAATGTGATTTGACTGATACCAGTATGCTGTCAATATGCAGTAAATCAGATTCTGATTCTGCATTGTTCCTCTCCTCTCAATGCCAGGCACATCACTTACTGTACTTCTTTTTTACTTGGCATGAATCTTCTAGGATGAAAATGGGCAAGAATTCCATCAGCTGAACTCTGCATGAGATTTGAAACTCAAAGACAAGGGTTCACATAAAGATAAAATGTAGAGTTCTTTGTTTATTTTTCTCAAATTTTCTCCTTCAGTCTATTAATTCACTATTTGTCCTTATGCTTTTTAGTAAGTCTAGGTGTTTATTGGCACTTATGATTCAAATTTGAGTTTTATAATACTTATTTTACTTATTTTACTCCTATTTTACCTTGAAGAACAAAGATATGACATATGAGCACATTTTTGATCTTGTGTGAATTTCAATTAAAACAATCAAAGTTTATAGCCATAAAATTTCTTGCTTTTTAAATTTCTCCCTCTGTTATATAGAAGGTATAATCTGTTAAAATAATATGTCAAGCACTCAAGTTCATGGACATCCACTGTAAGATTTCTAAGTTCCTGAATAAGTACCTCCAAAAATATAATAGCTTTCTGCTTGAAATGAGACAAATAACCAGCTTTATTTTCATATTTTCACTTAGATTTTTTATTCTTGCCACCATCCCCACGGCAACCAGGAGTTTTTAAGTAAATTATTCTGCTTTAAATCAACCATAATCTTGCTTGGCACAAGAACCACTTTTACATTTTATATAATACTTTTTCATTTTTTTTAACTAGGAGGAAGGCATTAAGTAAGAAACATACACTCTCCATGAAATTCTTTTTAGTATTTCTCTCGATGATTTTATGTAAGAAAAAACTATCACAATTTTAAAAATCCACTTATCTTTGTACTTCTGCTTTAGTTCCAAGAAAATAATGACACAGAAATAATTCTGCAAGTAAATGTTGAGTTGTGCTTGCATTAACAGTTGATGCAACATAAAGCAATTACAGTTAAGTGTCATCTTTTAGGTCATGGTTTTTGGTCAAAACATAATTTAGGTCATAATTATTCTACAAATGTCTTTTCTTTTTTGTGTGTGTCTAGTTTCTAGGTCGTACACTCACAATTCCTTAGAAATAAGCATTAATGTAAGACTTTTTCTGTTAAAATATTCTTTTAATTCAATAGGTTGATTTAAAGTGTTGTAATAGGCATAGTGTAAACTTGTAGAGGTTATATGAAAGTACATATGTACTTTTAAGAAAGCATTTCAGAAACTGAGTTAAAATAAATTAATAACCGTGGAGTTTTCAGAGTTCATACATTCAATGAGGATGAAAAGAGGTAAGTAAAAACCATAAAACCTATGAAGAGCTATTAAAGCCATAGCACAACCACTGCTTCACTGTGTGATTCTTGTGTTGTATTCTGGGGGTAAAGTCAAAGGAAGTCATATTTGAAACTTGACCATGCTTCGTTTTCATATTGATATCAGTTCTTGGAGAAAAACAGTCTGTATTATTAAAAATCAATGCATATGAGTTTAAAGACATGCCCTATGTATTTGAGACATGAAAGTGTCTATGTTGTATTATGTCATTCAAATGAAGGAACTACGATTAGAGGAATAATCTTGGTGGTGAGTCCATACTCTATACTCATCCTGAATATTTTCTTGGTTAGTTTTTCATTTTTCATATTGATAATGTTATATTTGAGGTTCTACCTTGTATTGCTATGAATCATGCTATTTTAGTGTGAAGTAATTAAGAATCCTTTTAAGAATCTCTTTTACAGTATGTATAGGGTACATGGAATGTCAGGCTATTTCCAGGAAGCATTTCTCACCATGGAAACATGATTTTTAAGACCTTTAATTCTGGGAAAATATTATTCACAAAAAAATCGAACTGCTTCCATTTGTAAGAAAGTTTTCTAAAATTTGCATCATTGATCAAATTGCTCCAAAGAAAGAGGAGTGGTGGTATATGTACTAAGATATGAATAGATTAATAAGCAATAATACAAGTACACATAGAATTACACATAATTTCCTTTTTGGCCACTATCCTTTTAAAAAATTCTTTCCAAATTGCAAAAATGCAACATAATAAAGGAGAGGCAATTGAACTCCAGTGCTGTAATCCTTCATACATATAAGTAAGTAGTTTGAGAGCTGTAGTACTCCCAGACTAATAAAAACGGATGAGTATAATTAATTTGTAGAGTGCATTCTAGGCTTCCATAAAATGCAAGTAACATGACTTCCTCATTCACATTTATAGAAAAGAAACACTTTCTGTCCTAGTTAGGTTTTGTTAGAGCATTCAAGTATCTCTAATTTGGCAAGCCATGCCTGGTTTCCACACCATTCTTAACCCAGCATGTTACGAGGCAGCAGGTTGCGCATCAGGCACCCATAACTGCTTTCATGTCTCTTACTCTGATTCAATGAGTGCTATTCATAGTAAAAATATCAATATATAAGAAATACAGGATGAAGTAAAATATTTAATATGTTAAGATTCTGCATTGTCTAGTTTTTTTCCTGTACTGGCAATTTCTGTTCACTGTAAATAGAATTAAAGAATGTGATATCCCTATGGATAGCAAAGATTTATTTAAATTGTGGTATTTATTGGACAATATAGATTTCTTTTTAAGGCCTTTCTACCACAATAAAAAAGGAAGTCTGTGCAAGTTAAAACACTAGTGATTTTTCAACTCCTCTTTGCCCCGCCTCTAAATGCTGTGTTTTGTTGACAGATCTGGGAAATTTTAGTGGCCGGACAAGAAGTGCTGTGTCTGTGCGGGAAGGCCAGGGGGTCGTTCTGCTGTGCTCTCCTCCGCCTCATTCGCCAGGTACAGTAGAACTAATTCCGTACTGTGTTTCTGCTTCTCTCTCTTATGATATGTTTGTTCTGACAGTGTGTTGACAGGGAAACATTGCAGGTGACATGTACTGGTTTCTGGATGTGGATGAGTACCAGATGAGCAATTAAAAGGTCACACCCTAAACACAACTGGACAGGAGACTGGACTCCTGTGAAAGGATTGCACCATTGTCCTTATGGTGACTGCCATGGCTATACCTCTGTCTGCCATTGGTGGGGAATATATTGCCTAGAGCACAAAGGAAGTGATCAACTCAGAAAGTTAAAACTTCTTAAAATGGTTTGGAATGTCAGAGTTGGGTTGACTGAATAGCAATGTACATCTGTTACAGAAGATAAGCTGGATACTCGGTTATGTGTGTTGTTCTTTGCCAAACTGGAACAAAGCTTTCCACCGGATGTTTTTTTCTAAATTTTGAACAAACCTATAATTTACTTATTGCTTGTTACTTTATTGTTATTTGAGGTCTTACTTGTAAAAGTCATGGTAATAGGTAAAATTTCAAGAGACTTGGGAAAACCAGGATTGTAAACTGTTCTCAGATTAATTATATGCCTTTTTACCCAAGGTTAATTATATTTATTGTATTTAAGCGCTATAATTTGAAATGGGAACCACTTTGTACCCCAATATAATTTTCCTATGATGCAATTTAAGAATGGCCAGCATCAGAAAGAGAGAGAGAAAAATAAGAAAGACCTTAGCCAACCACTGGAAATAGAATTCAAGGTTTCAGAGTCTTGGTATCTCTATCAATTTTCTTCTTTACTTAGTGTGACAACAGTAATTGTTTCCAGGTTATTTTATCAATTTAGTCAGAGTATGATTTGCTTCTATCACAGAAAATTCTCAACAAAAATAACAAAATGTATGGCATCAATTTTCTAAAGTTTCCTCATCTTTATCTCATCCTCCATTTTTTTTTTTTTACTTGAAAGCATACCACATTTCAACAAGGACATTTTCAATAAAAATCTTGCCTTGAAACTCTCACAAAATCACAAAAGTGGGAATCATTTCTGAATTGGGTACATCCAATTCCTACATATCCAGTCACCCAAATCTTTTAATAACTTGGGTATTTTGTAATGACATCTCTTACCTTACTTGCATCTAAATCTATATTTATGTTCTTTCAAGACAACATATATTGTAGGTCTTCCTATGGGTAAGACAAAAATTTATGACTGGTTTAAGAAAAACTTTCATCATTAATATAGGTTATGTCTAATGTTGATTATAGAGAGATTTACTTTGAAAGTGATAGTACATGAATAATAGTTACCCTACAATGCAGACTCGGGGAAATATCAGATAATGGGTCTTTGGCACCAACATGGGTGACCTGTATATCACTCCTGCTTTGGACTGACTCAGCTCAGGACACTGCAGGGTTTGGGGAAGTGAATCAGCAGATGATTCTTTCTCTCTCTCTCTCCCCCTCCCCCTCCCCCTTTCCCTCTCCCCTTCCTCTCTCACTCTCTCTCTTTCCCTCTTCTGCTCCCACTCCCTCTCTTCTTCTCCCTCTCTCCCTCTCCCTCTCAAGTAAATAAAAAATGGAAGAGGAGGGAAGAAGAGGAGGAGGAGAATGATCTAAGAAGGACAAATGAATTAATACCAGACTGATGAAAGTTATCAACATAGAATTATTTCTGGAGGAAAAAAGCAGGATCTATGTTGGAATGCTGTTGGACCATATGCTTAAAAAATAGAGTGGGAGACAATAATATAGAAAGCAAAACTGAAAGATTACACAGAGAAGTTAATTGGTGGAGAAAACTACATAGAGATTACTGGAGGGAAAACGTTACAATGAACTACATATGTGATAAAATAAACATGGGATGACAGTATGGGTTAATAGCTTATTAAATAAATAATTGTGTGATATCTAGTATAGATTGACACACATGAAGCAAAATGGTTGCTCAATGATCACTTGATCTGTTATCACCAACAGCTGCCATACTTACAAGCATTCTACTCTCTAGAATTCTACTTTCTGCTCCCTTTCTCCAGGATCCTATTCCAGGAGTCCATTATTCTCATGAAATCCACAATAACTGATTCTACCCCCTCCTTTCTCCCTGGTTTACTTCTTTTATTCTCACTTTTCTCTTACAGTCATTATGGTTTTCTGTACTTCAATTTCCTCATCTTTCTTTGGCTTTACAACACTGACTTGACATTTGACAAAAACCTGTTCCTGGTGTAAATCCGACAACCAGTCTACTACATGCCTGAACCTATTCAGCTTAATATCTTTTTTGATGGACATACTTTTGGTGCAATGGTTGAAAATCATTGCTTGAGATGCCCACATCCCATATCCAGAGTCCTTAGATTCAATTCCCAGATCTTCTTCCATTCACAGAGTCCTGCTAATGTATACCCTTGGGGGCAGCAGGGGATGGCTCAACTATGTGAGTCTCTGCCACCCTATGGGAGACCCAGATTGGATTTTGGACTCCGAGCTTCAGCCTGACCCAGCTCAGGTTGTTGCAGTCATCTGTGGAGAGAAGAAAAGATGAAAGAACTCTGTCCTTCCCTTCCTCCCTCCCTCCCTCCCTCCCTCCCTCACTTTTGCTCTCTCCTTTTATCTATTTATTTTTTAAGATTTATTCTATTTAAAGAGTTACAGAGAAAGAGAAAATACTCAGGCCATCATCCACTTCTTTCTCGGGTACATTAGCAGGGAACTGGATCAGAAGTGAAGCAGCTGAGACTTGAACCAGTATTCATATGGGTTGCTGCCATAACAGGTGGTTGCTTAAACCAATGTGCCAGGATGCCACCCCTCTTTCCTTTTTGATATATAAAAATAAATTAATTCATACTTATCCTCAAGCCATAAAGAAAACCACACATATAAAACAAAACAAAAATATCTTGTAGACTTACCTGAATTTAAAATATCCCCATCTCCTTCTTTCAACAGATTGAGGTACAAATTGCATTTGCAGCATATACATGTCCCATTTGATGTTTTATTACATTTATACAGTTTTGTCATCATCACTGAAAACCAGTCTCAGGACACTTGTAATTTAAAGAAGTCAATGAACACTTCTTTACCAATCTCCATAAGCAATCATAGATTTGCTTACTTTTTTTTAAATTTTTTGACAGGCAGAGTGGACAGTGAGAGAGAGAGATTTGCTTACTTTTAAATGTTTTTTAAAATTTTATTTAAGGTATACAAATTTCATGTATTTCATATATACAGATTTAGTAACATAGTGATACTTCCCATCCTAACCTCCCTTCCACCACTTCCAACCCGTCAACCTCTTTTCTCTCCTATCAACTCTCTTAATTTTTAAAATTAAGTCTTCTGGTCTTCTGTCAGTTTACTTTATACTTATAAAATTAACCCTACTCTAATTAAAGAGTTCAACAAGTAGTATTAAGAAAAAAACAGTGTTCCACAACAGTAGCAACAAGGGCTGCAAACAATCATTGAAATCTCAAAATGTCAATTTCACTCCTATACATTACATTTTTGGAACTCTTATTTCTCACAGGTCAAGGAAAACATATGATATTTGTCTCTCTGATACCGCCTTATTCACTATTATAATGGTTTCCAATTGATTCCATTTTGTTGCAAAAGGAAGGATTTCGTTCTTTTTTACACCTGAGTAGTATTCCATAGTGTATATATACCATAATTTCTTTATCTAGTCAGCATTTGATGGACATCTGAGTGGATTCCATATCTCAGCTATTGTTAATTGAGCAGCAGTAAACATGGGGGTACAAATAACTCTTTCATATGCTGATTTAGTTTCCCTTGGGTAACTTCTCAGAAATGGGATTATTGGGTCATATGGTATATCTAGTTTCAGCTTTCTGAGGCACCTCCATATTGCCTTCCACTTCCTGTAGCATGTGTTGAAATCCAGTATTGTGATGCCTCTGGCTTTTTGTTTTTATCTATTTGGAGTATCTTGTGTTCCCAAATGAATTTTAGTTTCATTTTTTCTAGATAAGAAAAGAATGTTATTAGTATTTTGATTTGTATCACATTGTATTTGTAAATTGCTTTTGGTGGTATGGGCATTTTGATGATGTTAATTTTTTCCAATTTGACAGAGTTAGACAGTGAGAGAGAGAGAGAGAAAGGTCTTCCTTTTTCCGTTGGTTCACCCCCCAGTGGCCACTGTGGCCAGTGCACCAGGCTAATCCAAAGCCAGGAGCTAGGTGCTTCTCCTGGTCTCCCATGCGAGTGCAGGACCCAAGGACTTGGGCCATCCTCCACTGCACTCCCAGGTCATAGCAGAGAGCTGGCCTGGAAGAGGAGCAACAGGGACAGAATCCGGCACCCAACCGGGACTAGAACCCAGGGTGCAGGTGCTGCAGGCGGAGGATTAGCCTATTGAGCCGCGGCGCCGGCCTAAATGCAGCTTTTTTTGTTTTAAACAATGCTAAGTGAAGAAAAATATGGACCTTTCAAGATTTTTTTTTAAGATTAGGAAACATGTAGAAATCAGAAGATCAGGCATGCAAGGTGACTAATGAATACCCATCAAAACTCTTTCAAATTGTCCTTGATTGATAGGAGGAATGCGCAGAAGCATTGTGATGGGGAGAATGACTCTGGTGAAGCATTTACAATAGGTTGGCTTCTCTTCTAAAGCTTTGGGTACTTTCTCAAAGCACTTCCTTAATAATTCATTGTTAAAAATCTGACTCTCCTTGAAGTCAATAAGCAAAATGCTCTATTTCAAATACTCTTGCTAAGTCCTTTGCTCTTAACTCGTCTGCTTTTGTTTTTACTGAACTACTTCTACCTCTTGGTAGCTATTGATTTGATTTTGCATTGTCTATAGAATCATCCTTGGTAAAGCCAGCTTTTATGTGCTGTTCCAATTACTATTTTATTTTATTTTATTTATTTATTTATTTATTTTGACAGGCAGAGTGGACAGTGAGAGAGAGAGACAGAGAGAAAGGTCTTCCTTTGC